GAGCTGCCACTCCAGGCCTGGCCTGGAAGCGGATAGTAAGCAAATAACCACGCACATGTGTAAATTTCAAATATGATCAAGGCGATGAAGGAAAGGTCTCAGCTGATGTCCCAGAAACAGAACCTACCCAGCTTATGTGCTCTTACAAAATGGAAAATAATGACTTAGGCTTTTTAATTGAGTGGTTTTTTTGTTTTTGTTTTTGTTTTCTTAAAGGAATGAATGCTGAAGGGCATCCTGTTGGGCTAGTAGAACTTTGTTTTTTATTTATTTACTTATTTATATTTGAGGGAAGGTCCACAGGGTGTTCAGGGTCTCACTACTAGATCAGATTCGTAGTGATCTGCCTGTTCACAACCTCCCAAGAGCTGGGGTTACAGGCATGCACCACCACACCGGGTCTCAATCACTGTTTCAGTGCACCTTGGGGGTGGGGCCAGCCCGGCAGGTCCCAGGGATTGAACCTCCAACCCCTGCGCCTGCTTGCAGGTGCTTTAATTTGCTGAGCTATTTGGCTGGCCCTGGGCTGGTAGAACTTTAAAGAAACTGAATCTCGTCACCCATATGCAAGAGTACTGTGAGCACCATGGACACTCCACCCTTCCCATAGGTGCTGCATGGTACGAGCAGTGTATTAGGTCTTCCTGTCACACAGAAGGAAGGAGCTGAAGGCCTGCACCCCAGCGGTGACGCTGCGCAGATGCGGGCCCTTAGCAGCCCCCCTGCTGGGGACGGCTTTCCTCAGAACCACAGCACCCCGTGCCCTGGAGAAGCAGCGCAGACTCACGGGCTGTGCTCAGTCACCTCTGAGCCTTGCAGCCTCCTCGGCCTCCTCGCCCTTCTGGCTCTGCAGCCTCACGCTCATGGCTGCTCCTTTCTCAGACCCAGGTCTTCCAACCCAAGGGAGTTTTAAGCCACCCAGATGGCCAGGCTTCAGCCGGGACTCTGATGCAGTGGAGTACAGTATACTAAGGCGTTCTAGGAGGTGCCACCTCTGCCCTGCTGCTGAGAACTCCTCACAGTCCCCTTCTCACCAGTCCCCTGGAGGCCTCTCAATCGTCCCCTTTCCCTAAGGCCACCCAGGGGACAGCCTAGCTGGATCCCTTAGCTGCTGTCCCCACAGTCCAGGTGAGTCTTGTGAACATGCTGCTGACATCAACCATCTCCCTGCGACTTTCTTACAAAATCAAGACTCCATAGTGTGAAGCCCCAACACAGCCCCAAACCTTTGCCCACCTCTGTCCTGGAGGGGGCTCTGCTCACAGTGAGGCTGGCCTCTTGTTCTTTCTTCTGTCTCCTGATCTCCATCTCTCTCGTGCTGGCTGCAGAGCATCAGAAACCTAAATCTGGGGCCAGGTCCCACCTGATTTGCGGGCTGCAGCCACGCAGCACACAGGCCGCACAGTCCACATCCTGGGGAGACCAGGAGGCTGATGAAAAGGCGCCTTGGACATGTGTCGTGGTGCCTGACACACAGCAGCTGCCCACAGGTCAGGGTGTGTCAATCTGTATCTACTAAAAGGTGCAGAACACACTGCATCTCTAAGATGCTGCCCGGGGCTACGGCCTAGGCCTGCAAAGAGATTTCTCTGGTCAGACTGCAAGAGAAGCCCTGAAACCCTCAACTACTTCAGCGTCCTTGTCAAGGCACAAGTTTCAGGGCCTCTGCCCGGGGGTGACCCGTGTGTGCCTTGAACTGCCGGGTGCATTCCCTTTACTCATGGTTAAGTGGAGGTGACAGGCCCAGCAGAGCCAGGGTTTGAAGCCAAGACGAACCCTTCTTACATCACAAGCAGGGCTGCCAGCGCGTCTCATGTCTGCTTAGATGAAGCTCTGGATTGGCGAAATAAAATTACATGTCCTCATTTTGTAAGTTTTCACCTTCAGAAAACAAAATGCCTTACTAATTTTCCTTTATGTGTTTAAGGCTTACCTCCAATTCCTTCGATGTCCAGAACGGGCTTTGCAGAGTTTTCCATGAGGGAGCGCCTGCGGGAGAAGCTGCAGGCTGCCAGGGTAAGAGGCTCCTGTGTCCCCGTCTCTGCTGGGTGCTGACTGCAGCTCTCCTGGGCGTGACCGGCTGGCTTCCCGCTCTGCAAACGCAGGCGCTGATCTGAGTGCTGCTCCCCGACTTCTCTTCCTCAGGCTAAATGTTCTTTTTTGTTTGTTTGTTTGGTGGAACCGGGGATTGAACTCAGGCTAAAATGTTAATGTAATGTTTTGTAATGTTAATGTAATGTTTTGCATTCACAAGAAAGCGAATTCCGTTTGAGAACTAACGCCTTTCTTCTAAGCCCTTTCCCTTGTTCCTGCCCCTTAAGCAGGAGGCACAGTGCGCATCTCGTACTGATTATTCTGTGCTGAGACAGAAGGGGATTGGGGTTTTCTCCGCAGCACAGCATTCCTGGTGTCATGTCACCGTCATTTTCTGTTTGACCTTTTAGTCCAAGGCTGAGAGCGTACTGCTGCAGGAAATTCCCACCCCGAGACCCAGGCGCCTGCGAAGTCCCGGCGAGAAAGTATCGGAGACTGGACTGGGCACGGAGGTAAGAAGGGACCCTTCGGCGGCGCCGCGCAGCTTCTCGCTTCTCTGTAAAGTAGGAAGGCTGCCCGAACTAGCCTGCGGTACTGCCTGTGCCGCGGCATCTCGGCCCGTCCTTGGCTCATGCTAAGCCCTCTCTGTTCAGGTTTGAGCCATCTTTAAAGGCTGGTCTTAGAGCAAAGGAGAAAATAGTCCCAAACATGTCGGTCAGTATCTCCCATTCACCGCCGCAGACCACTTAGTTTCATTTTCATTTCTTCCCCCTTTATGCTCAGCAGACCTTGGAGAAGAGCATAAAGGCAAGTCACAGAAACGCCAAACTGCAAGTGACACGCAGCAAGCGATCCACTCGATCGCTCCAAAATTTCTTTATGTGCCGCCCCAGCTCTATTTAGGTTACCCACAAGTTGCCCGTGGTAACATTGCCCCAGGGCACACCAGTTTAAGAACACTCCTTCTACCAGTGGCCAGCGGGCTCTGCACGCAGAACAGTGACCATCGCAGCCGGCCCCACGAGTCAGAGGGTGACAGACACGCTAACAGGTGGTGGAGGCACAGAGTGTTCTGTTACATGTGTAATATGAACAGGAGCCCGCAGAGATAGCTCAGCCTTGGACGCACCTTATATGAAATGTGAGGGTTTTTTCTTTGCTTTTAGTTTTTAATGTATTTGGTAAAGGGTCTCACTATGCAGCTTGGATTCACAGTGAGCCTCCTGTTTTCAGTCTCCCCAGCACTGGGATCACAGGAGTGTGCCACCACTCCCAGCTTCTGCGGCCAGCTCATCACACCTGTGGGCAGCATTGAGGTGGGCAGGGTCGGTGAGACATGCAGTGCCAGGGATTGAACCCTGGTCCCTGCACTTGCCTACGTAGGTGCTCAGTCCACTGAGCTATCTCACTGACCCTTGAGTTATTGTAACTAGGCAATGGTTTTCTTATATGTGATAACAAATGCACAAGCAGCCAAAGAATAAATAGATCCATGAAACTTCATCAAAGTTAAAAACTTATGTTTCAAAGGAAATCATCAAGGAAAAAAAAAAACACAAGAGTTTGTTCACAAATCACATATGTTGATTAATAGGAGAACTATATGTGATGCCTGCAACATTTTAAGGTTAGGGTGATTTTTAGGTAATTGGTAATAGTGATTAGTCATTTAAAAGAGATACGAGGGCCAAAAGTAATGTATTTTGTATTTATACTATACTAAAAGTACCGATGCTATTGGGTAGCTTATTTCTAAAAAGTGGCTCACCGACTAAATGCTACCAGGTCTGGACCTCACGTCTTGGAGCTGGATTCTGGGTTGGTGCACAGGAAGAATTGTTTGAAACAAGCATAAAAAGAAAGGGGGAAAAAAAAAGTGAAAAAAAAAATTTGAAAAAAAGGTGGCCAAGTTTATTCGAGAAAGTAAAGAGTGGAAGAGAAATTGACCCTGCAGGGCAACCTTGGGCCAAGTGAAGAGATGAACAGGCTAAGAGCAGAGATAAAAGTACTCACTGCATCTGAGAAACACAGCGTGGGCTACAGAGGAAGGGCTGCAGAGCACCAGCGCCTCGTGGCTGCCTTTCTCTTACGCTGTCCAAATCTCAAGAAAACCTGCGAGAACTTCTATATCCGGGTCTGAGAGGTGACACCGAGCACTCAAGGCTCAGGCTGTCACGTCCAGGCCATCGTGTGGGAAACCTGCTCGAGTTCTCCAGAGAAGGCCGCAGGCAGGGCCTGGGGCAATGTTCTGCACGTGTGGCTAATCTGGTAGACGGGTCACGCCTGCTTCTCGGCCGGCTTTTACCACGCCCTCACCTCCTGGCTCAGTGTGACTTGAGACAGTCTACTAGCTCAATCTAGTAGCGGGTCACAGAGCCTTCTTGGGAGGCTTGTCCCTAACATGGGAAAATACAACATCACCTGGGAGGTAGCATGTGGCAAGTTCATATCCCCCGAAATAGGTGGTTAAGAGCAGGAAAGGTTTACTGGGAAACAGGAACAGCTCTTGAGAGATGGGGGGGCACCAAAAGGGCGTTGCTGCTGGGGCCCCTACTTGGGGCAGGTTATACAGCAGAGCTACAATGTGGGTACAACATGCAGCAAACTGTACAAATGTATTACAGATAATAATTCTTGAAAATTTGTTTCACCACACTTAAGCATTTTACCATGTTTAGTGACCTTAAAATTGTATCTTACTTTTTTTAGATTTAGAATTTGGTGAAAATTAAATTAGGGGAAATGCTGGATGTCAGACACACAGAGTTCATATTCTCTCAAAAGTCAAACGGTGAACTCTAGGGAACAATGGAGGATAAGCATAGGAAGATTTTTTGGAGACTAGGAGTAGCTCCTGAGAGTTAGGAGGGTCCTGACTGGACTGCCAGGGAGCCCACCTCTCAAACCTTTTAAGTTTTACAGAACAAAATCATGAGATGAGTACAATGTGAGTCAAGATTATGATTAACCAATAAGACTGCAAGAATAGGTGCTTAGATAATGTTGATCTAGTGGCAGCAAGGGTACATGGGTGACATCGTTAACTTTGGTCTTACATCTATAGTTTTGTCTTTAGTCTTAGTGGGTGGAAGTGGACCGGCCCAGTATGACTAACAACTATATTTCCTCTAATTTGCTGCCTATGATAGGATTTTTATCAACTCCATAAATATTGTACTAAAACTACTAATACTAAACCAGAACACTCCAGTGAAATTATATTATCTGAACTCATCATCTATATCAACCAAATATAGACATGGAAGGAAACAAATGAATAAATTTTTAATCTCTGTATACATGTATTTTGCTACATAAGGATTTTAACTTACTATCGAGGACTACCTGAGCAGCTCTTCTTGGAAAAAGAGCAATTGTCTCCATTTTGGCTGAGCCTGACCCTATTTCCTTATATTAATATGTACAGAGCTGGCTAGGACTTCTCTTTATCCTTTCAATTGGCTTTAAGCAATGTATATTGGTCTAACCGAGGTGCTAATGGTAGTTTTTGAAGGCAGTATGCACGTTTCCCTGTTAACCCACACCTGCTGCTCTTTACTGTGAGCCAGGTCAAGACAGGCCGAAGAGGCAGTTTTCCACACTGCTGGCTGGGATGGAGCCTCGAGATAGAGGCTATGACTTCCAGGGCTTGAAAGATTACATCAGAGCTGAAGCACCAGACCCCTGAAACATTAGATACTATCTCAATAGCATAATGCAGATTACTTTCTCTGCATATCCTCTCTGCGTATGGCAGAGGCAAATGTAGGCCACCCACTTAGCTCAGCTCACAGTACTTACCTACTTCCCACAATTCTCAGTCATTCTTCCTCAAGCCACTCCTCTTCTACTGAATAAAACCCAGGTGCATCCCTGGGTCAGCCTCTTTGTTCTGGAAAGCCATCTTCGTGGCTGGACTTAGGGCCCCTGGGCTCCCCAATAATTATAAATATGTTTTAGTGTCTTTACTTTCACCATGGGTTGCACTGGGAGTGGTAGATTGGAATTTACTTGGTGGGATTCTAATAATGTATCTTCAGGATTATAAATATTGACTTTTTAGACCAAGACAAGAACCAGGAGGGGACTCCTACAACTTACTTATTTTCTAATCTACCCGTGGTAGACGTTTTGCCCAGTCTTAGGTTTTACTATGATCATCTTTCAGAGATCTCCAAAATCTAAAATTTGTTACATTTTACAAACTTGGTCAAATCTTAGAAAGTCTTCCTGACCAAACTCAGGGATTTAATCTTAATTCTACTTTGTATTTTGCACTGTTTATCTTTATACAACGTAATATTCCTCTGCTTTTTTCCTCAGCCTCAAAAATAACATTTAAAATTTTGGACTTGGCTGTGAAATATAACTCCATTTTGTTCTGCATTAGGAATGTATGCACCAGCACAACTTCAACTTTCATACAGTGGAGCTAACAGAAAGCTGTTTCTCTCTAGCATTACAATATGAGGAAATGGAGAAAAATATGGAATTTTATATAGTGCGATTTGTGTATATTTTCTTCTTACTGTGGTAGACTGCATACAACTGGCACTCTTGGTTTTTGTTTGCTTTGTTTTTAACAGCCATGAAGGGATTTATTTGGTAGAATTATGAAGAAATAGAATTGGTCCCCAAGATAAGAGGGTACAGTGTGTAGCAGGGAATATTTATCTATCTTTGGCAGTAGAAATCTATGAACTTTGTGAGACTGTTGGAAGCACTGTTGTGATTGTGGCTTAGAGGAAAAGGATGGATACCCACAGAAAGGTAATGGCCTGTTTTTGCAAGGGGAAGGCATAAGCCCCACTAATTTTTTTTTTTTTTTTTTTTTTGTATTTTTAGGGGAGGGTCTACAGGATCTCACTACTAGATTGGACTTGTAGTGATCCACCTGTTTACAGCTTCCCAAGAGCTGGGATTATAGGCACCTGCCACCACACCCAGTCTCAACTGCCACCGCAGCTCACCCTCCAGGGGCAGGGCCAGTATGGCAGGCCTAGGGAATCAAACCCCTGGCCCCTGCGCCTGCTTGCAGGCGCTTTAATCCACTGAGCTATTTGGCCAGCCCTTTGCAGTCCTTTTAAAAGTAGTTTTTGAGTTAGGATTTTCCTTGTCTCCTTTCCATCCCTGTTTCTTCCACCCTATCTTATTCCCGTTCCCACTTTACAGTACTTTGACTCTTTATTCTTAAAGGCTGTAGAAGGGCCAGGGCTCCAACTTCTTTTAACTGCTTCAGGCAGAGGAGGGGCATAAATGCTGTGTAGCCAGGGAGCAAAAGGCTCATGCTGGTGGCTGTAAAGGACACAAAGGAAGATGGATTTTGTTGTTTGGGGAACATCATTTTTTGGTAGTCCACAAAAGACATAAGAACAGTAGCAAATCATTGACATTTCTGCGTCATTCTATAGCCATGTTAAAAAGCAGGGGGTAATATTAATAGGAGCACACTGAGGAATACCAGTAGTAGCTCAAAAAGTTGAAGTCACACAAAACTAAGCAGCTTTGGGCATAAGCCTTTTACTTTCAACATTCACTTCTATTTGTCTAGTGGTTCTAACCCAAGTACAGCAGGCAGTTTCACAGCATGTAGGCTTTCTTCTTGTCAAAGAAGTCTAATGTTTTCTTATTTTTTACGTAACAATCACAAAAGAATATACAAAGCAAAGCTACCTATGTTTTTGTGATCATTGGCCATTAAAATTTTTTACTGGATCTGCCCCCTGTTTTATAGACCTGAAGACCTTATACAGTAGATATCCAGATAATATAAGCATATAAAGTTAGCTTATACCATGAAGATGACAAAGCTTAGTAGTGAGAATATATTGCCGGTCCTATTCTCACAGCACTGCTGTACAAGGAGCCAGGTGTTTACTGCAGTGTACTTGGAATTACATTGATTACATTTGGGCTGTGGCCATGGAGGTCCAACTGCCATGAGTAGAATTTCACAGCACTTCACCTCTGCTGCACCAGGAACCTGTGTTTCCATCCAGGGGTTTCCTGCCTCTCTGGAAGTCCTGTGAAGACCTGCACAGCCATTCTGAGGCATACACAACCCGGAAACACCAGGGCTTAAAACCCCTGGGACAACCTTTGAACAGTCAGGGGCCATTAGGTGGATAAGTGCTCTACCTGGCCTTCTGAGAATTCCCAGTGACAGTGAACTCTCTTCTCCATTGTCATCACCAGCTCTAGAAAGTTCTCATGGGTTGGCTTGCCATCCTGTTTTATTGTTTCCCATTTCCAACTCCTATTGTTTGATATCAGCCCTCAAAATCAACCTCAGACTCAAGAACCCTTTTCTTCAGGCTTTGGTGTCTGGCAGACTAACATAGAACATAGTCATACTACGTGCATACAAGCCAGGGGAACTAAAGACAGGCATTCAGAAGAAAACCACTCATGTGGTAATAATCACAAGCATCAATGAGCCCGTGGTTTCTGTTTTATGTACATCAGCCCATGCTCAGACTAATGGCATAAGAAGGATCACTGGTAGAGTTAGAACTCTGGAGACCATGGTAGCAATTACCTGGCTTGTACAGAACAGCGCTTGATGTGACTCAGAGAAGATCGTGAAAAAGAAAGTGCATTTTAGGATAAAGGGTCAGAAAGAAGTAGTTCAGCTGGTCTTGAAGAACAAGAACTTGTATAATAGGTCACTGTCAAAACACAAGTACATTAAAAATGTAGAAAATTCCCTTTGGGACATGTGTGTAGCATGTATAGAATTTTGAATCTCATGTTTCGACACGGATCCTATCCCCAAGGTACATAGAAATATTCCAAATGTGCAAATATTCCAAAATCTGAAGAAAAAAAAATCCAAAATCCAAAACAGTGCTGGTCCCAAGCATTTCAGGTAGGGGATTCTCCAGCTGTGTAGGCAAAAGGCTCAGTGCACCAACATGGCCAGCTGGCCAGAGGCCCAGCAATAACGGGAGGTGCGCCCTGCTGGGAGCTGTTGGGCTTATTCACATCCACACATCTGTGCTCTACAGACTTTGTTTGGAAATGAGCTTCTGTGAAATGGATCATCTATTGATCTATGGGATGAAGTAACCCTTTCTCAAGTGTGAAAGTTTGCATTTGCTTAATCTTGAGAGATAGCATTGAGTAAGAAAAAATTCAGCCACCTTAAGCTTCCGCTGTAGCTGATGCCTGTGAGCACTTCCTTTCTGCGCAGTGAGAAGGTGCGTCGACTTCGCAAGACAGGTCTTCCCAAGGTCAGCCCTAGATCTGGGACAGCCGCATCGCCTGAGTGACATGGTTTACCTGTCTTTCTTCCCCTCATACAGCCGAGTGAAGAGGTACAGGCAGCTCACCACAGAGACGATTCCACAAGTTATTCGAGAATAAAGTTTCGTGATGCGGTACAAAAAATCAAGTCTAAACCCCAGGTAAGAATGCTATTATTATTATTATTATTATTATTATTATTATTGTTATTATTATTTTGGTACCGTGGATCAATTTTTTTTTCCTTTCAGACTGAGTCTCACTGTATCATTCAGGCTGGCCTTGAACTCACTACACAGGCCTCCCAAGTGCTGGGATTACAGGCATGCACCATCACACCCTGTCTTTTAAAATCATGGTTCTTCTTTGTGTTTTTCAACAACATCTATTATGAGATGACAACCTATGTACCTGACCTTTATTGTCATAGAACATAAAAGAAAAAAGAATGAGAAAGGTTCCTATTTTCAGCTCTAATAGAATCTAGCTGGAGAGACAGCAACAGCATCTTGTTTGAGGAATGTGGGTGCACGGGGAAGTGGAGATGTAGGGGTGGGCAGTTTGCTCTGCTCTGAAACTGCACCACTTTTCATTATGGGGAGAAAAGGAGGGAGTGTACTAATGCAAGAGTCTAAGGAAGATTTCAATCCAAAGATCTAAAGGCAGGTAAGGTCATCTTTTAAAAAGAAGATTAATGAATCTTACTTTTTTTTTTTTTTTTTTTTTTGGTACCAGGAATCAAACTCAGGACCTTGCACTTGCCAGGCAGGCACTTATGCCACTGAGCTATACCCCGGCCCACCTTTTTCAAAGTTAAATAAAGCTGTCTGAATATTGGCCTATAGCACAATGAATTTGCTTTTTGATATGTTAATAACATTTTCTGAAGTTTTTATTCATATAGATATTATATTGACATCCTTACTAGAATGTAAATGATTGTTAGTTTTTGCAAAAGTAACTACATTTACATATTTAAAATAGGCATCAAATAAACACCTGTCAGTTTTGTTAAAATTCATTACCAGAACTTAATCAAGTTAATCTTCAACCAAGATAACCACTGTTTGAAGTTTCTGTTCTTGTTGCTGAGTGTGTGTGTGTGTGTGTGTGTGTGTGTGTGTGTGTGTGTGTGTTACTGGGGATGAAACCCAAGGCCTTGGCACTAAGCTACAACCCCAGCCCTCTATGTTTTGTTTTGAGGCACCCTCTCACCAAGTTGGCCACGCTGGGCCCACCTGCCTCAGCCTCCCGCAGTGCTGGGATTCCAGGCATGGCACCATGCTGAGCTTGGGCAGGGCTTGCGTGTTCCAGTAGCTTAAAGCTGCTGTGTCCCCCATTCTCCTTAGGCGCCCCCTGGCTTCCCTTCTGCAGAAGAGGCCTGTAACTTCTTCACCTTCAACTTTGACCCCGAGCCAGAGCAACCTGCGCTAAAAGCAAAAGGAAAAGACAGAGATGGAGCCAAGCAGGAGGAGGAGGAGGGGGAGGAAGAATCCCCGGCAGGAGGCGTGAGCAGAACGGTATTTAGTATCCTAGTGACGGGCAGCGCGCGTGGGGAAATGGGTGAGGGTCACAGCCTCTCCTGGAGGAAGGTGCCAAGGAAAAGCCTGCCCCGAGGTACCCCACGCCTCGCCCACAGCCCAGGCCAGAGCAGAGGGACAGCGGCCCAGGGAAGAAGCAGCCGTGGCTTTCCATAGCTCAACTGCACCCACAATGTGCAGTGGGGGCTTTGATTAAATCCGCCTGCCCCCCGCCTGCAGGGAAAACAAAATGAAGTAATGTGGCTCGCAGATTTTTTTTCTTGCTGTTCTTCTTCCTAGAACAATTAGAATTCATTTCATTTCACACGCACAGTGGTTTTCTCTCCAAGGCAAGTAAAACCTCTAATTCTCTCTCCACCATCTTACAAGCCAGTGACTTCTTGTGCCCAATAGCAAGCGCAAGCTGCCGCTCGTATTCCGTAATTGTGAATGATAGAAAAGATTAAAAAGAAAATGTAACCGTATGAAGCAAGGATCTTGCTCCTTTTTGAAAAACAAAAATTAGTTTTGAACAGTTACAGAAAAAAGAACAATTGTGCATGTTAATGGGATACTTCTGGGCAGTTTTTTTGTTTTGTTTTGACTTGGCGACACTTGGGATGGGACCCAGGGCCTTGTGCGTGCTAGGCAAATGCACTGCCATGGAGCCATGGTCCTGGCCCTGGAGAGTGTTCTGGAACAGACGTTCCTCCACGGAGAATTACAAATGACCAGTAAGCACATGAAAAGACGCTGACCATCAGTAGTGGCCAGGGAAATGCAAATTAAAGCCATAATGAGATACTGCTTTACATCCTGCAAGTGGCTACGACCTCAGCGGAAGTAAAGAGGGGAGGAGTGCGGAGAAGGGGCATCATTGTGCATGGCTGGTAGGCATGTGGAATTGTGTAGCTGTTGTTACGAACATAAGGCAGTTCTTCAAACTTTAAGAGGAATTGCTGTGTCATCCCACAATCTTCTCTGAAGATAGCTTCTCCCCACAAAATTGAAAACACAGACTTGAATAAGAAATTGTGGACCAGGGTTCCCAGCAGCCCAAAGGTAGAAGCAACCCCTACCTGTGTACTTCTTGACAGATAAATAAAATGGGTCCTGTAACTCATTATCATTCAGCCTCCAGGAGGATACCTTGAGGACGTTATGCTAAGTGACACTTAGGAAAGGACAAATATTTTTTTTTATTTTAATTTGTGTGTGTGTGTGTGTGTGTGTGTGTGTGGCCAGCTCAGCCCACCAGGGGGCGGAGCTGGCTGGCATGTGGTGCTGAGGGATTGAACCGCGGTCCCTTTGCTTTGCTAAGCTTGTTCTAAGTAGGTGCTTTAGACCACTGAGCCATCTCACCAGCCCAGGAAAGGACAAATATTGTGTGATTTCATTTATATGAGTACTTAGAGCAACCAAAATCGTACAGAAAGGAAGTAAGCGATAGTTGACAGCTTCCACGGGAGGAAGGAGTTGGAAATCAGGGCGCAGGGCTTAGTGGGGCAGAGAGCTGCAGTCTGGGAAGATGTGAAAATTCTGAAGGTGCATCTGAAGAGTTAATGTTAGTGAACTACGGACACTTAGGATGAATGTTATGTTACATACATTTTACAATATTAAAAATAAAAAGAGAAAACACACCAGACCATTTCAATTTGCATAGTTGGCATTTTTCTGGGCTTAACCACTAATCTCCCTTGAAAAATCCTCCTAGGAATGTATCTTCTTACTGAGATCTTGGAGCACGGGACTTTTTCAGCATATTCTATAATTGTTACTTTACAAATCAACAGTTCAGCTGTCCTGGCTCAGGATCTCTCATCAGACTGTAGACAAGACAGCCAAGTCCACAGGAGGCATCTAGAAGCCAGACTGGGACTGGGAGGGTTTCTGTCCAAGGTGGTGCATCTGCCCTGGCCCTGGGGATGTCCTGGGCATGGCGTGGGTGTTCTCAGGGCCCGACAGGTGGCTTCCCACAAAGCAAGTGACCTGAGAAGAAAGCAAGGGAGAGGAAAGGGAGGGGGAGTTGGCTCCATCTTGTGAATGCAAAGCTTTCCATTTCCGAGCATCTTCTGAAATCGTGACGCTTGTCCCCAGAAGCTACTTCTTTGCTCTGGCTTTTTACTTCCAGGGGAGCTGTGTGCAGCCCTGTTCTGGTCTGCCTGGACAATTTTTAAGTATTGCTGTGCTCAGAGGGGGTCTGAACATTCTGGGTGGTGTCAGACAGCCTGGAGGCCCCTGCCTGGCTGCCTTTTCTGTCTTCTCAGCACAATGCCCAGTTTGCTTTCGTCCTCCACAAAGCGGAGGAGGTGACGCAGGAGCAAGACAGAGGACGCGCTGCCATTGGTGACTTTTTCCACTTTCCAGCGTTTTGGGAGTGCTGGGCCTTGAGGTCATGCTGAGAGCATATTTTCCACAAAGACAGACTTCTCCCTTAATATTTTGCACATTTGGGGAGAAAATAGTAGGTGGCACATAGCTAGGCTGCCCCCAGTCTTCAGATCCTGTTCGAACACAGATGCCAGGCTCAAATGTTTAGAGAAGAAAAGGAAAGGGAAAGGGAGGAGATGGAGAAAATTTTGGGAAAATACTGAAAGAAAATGCCTATACTTCATATATTTCTTAGATTGCTGTGCGCATAATGTAGTTTCATCCTCACCAAGTCCTGAGAGGTAAGCTGTGCTAGCATCCTCGTTCCCGGGAAGAACACTGAGGATCAGAGGTTCCCTCAAGTCCCCGGAGGCCGAGCTGCCTGGGCACGTGGCCCTGCTACCCTTTGCTCCTGGGCCAGCGCTGCCATAGGAGGGGTTCGCTACGCATAACCAGTTAGGAGCCCCAGTTCTCTGCATTGTTCCGGATTCTAGTTCCTTTGCTCACCTCTTCTCTGACTCAACCTGCTCTGCTTTTGACGTCTCCCATGTGTATTGAATGGTGGAAAACAAACAGGCGAGCCCATGTTTTATTTATGAAATGCTACATGGTTCTACGCCTTCATTATTTAAAAAAGAGACAATTCAGTTTTGCTGTAAGACATTTTAGCTTTGATGAGTCCAGGGTGAGAAATCATTTTCCTAATAAACCAAGAATCTTGGCGCGACTTTTCCTTGATGTGTTTTCACATCATGCAGGATGACGAAGAGCTGCTCGGTGACCGTGACACCAAGGACTTCCTGCTGGGCCTGGATCCTGCGGCTGAGGACTTTGTGGCCATCCGTCCTGCAGAATATGAAGGCGTCCACACCCGGCTGGAAAAGGAAAAGGAAATCCTCTTCGTCCCCAGTAGGCGAGCAGGTCCTGGTTCTTTTTTATTTCTCTGCTCCGATTAAACATCTTCATCTTCCTGCAGATGAAATGTGCCTGCCATCAGAGGTGTGATCAAAAGGCATAGTGAAACTTTATGTTCTTAAAATATATTTACTACAATAAAAGATTTATTGCCGTCACTCCCTCACAGCACTCCTCCTCCTTTCGTGCACACTTGTCCCTTCGTTCCACCACTTTCTGAAGCAGCTCTGCACGTTCTCTTTCATGAGTGTCATCATCAGGTATGGCGAGCTACTCAGCGAATGCTGCCACTGAGTTTCAGTCACTGGACAGGTGGGCCGTAAAAACATCACCCAGTGTCTTCCTTCACCTTACACACCCGACCTGCCCTCAGGAGGATCCAGGCTCCTCCCCAAGGCCAAAACAACTGTGAAAGATAAACATTTTTAATCAATTGAGGATGTTAAAGCAGCTCCAATAGCACACTTGAAGACACTCATGAAAGAGAACTGCCAAGGGCCGGCCAAATAGCTCAGTGGATTAAAGCATCTGCAAGGCAGACTTAGGGGCTGGGGGTTCAATCCGCAGGTTTGTCATGCAGGCCCCGCCTCCCGGGCGTCCTGAGACTGGGATTGAGACTGGGCGTGGTGGTACGCACCTGTAATCCCAGCACTTGAACAGGCAGATCACTACAAATCCAATCTAGTAGTGAGACTTGAATACCCTATAGACCCTTCCCTCCCCCTCCAAAAAAAAAAGAGAAAGAAAGAAAGAAAGAAAGAAAGAAAGAAAGAAAGAAAGAAAGAAAGAAAGAAAGAAAGAAAGAAAGAAAGAAAGAGAACTTCCAGGACCACTTGAGAAAGTAACGAGAGTGATGGGCCAAGTGTTGCAAAGCAAAGGGGAGTATTTCAAGGAGGAGGAGGATGGCAAAGTATCTTTCACTGTAAAAAAAAAAAAAAAGTTTTAAATTTAAATGTCCACTATGTTTTTTTAATCATCATCATATAAGGATGACCCATTTCCAAAACTGATTCTGTTTGCTAATCTGATCTAACAATTAAGAAATTTCTTCAGACCAAAAATGAAGGGCATGGAAAAATTCATTGCATTGATTCTTACTCAGAGCACAGCAGAAGGAACTCCACTGTGCTGGGGGATCCCTGCACCCAATGGGGGGCAATTTCTGGGGTCCAGGAGGAGTGAGCCCCCGAGGATCGGGCTGTGTGAGCTTCCTCGCCTCCCACCCTCGGGCACAGAGCCGGCCACCTCCTGAGCCCCCATTCCTGCCAGGCCTGCTCGCTACCCTTGGCCTTTGCTCTCTTCTCTGCGCACCAGGGTGCCCTGGCCCCACTTGGTGCTAGCAATCCAGACGAACAGGAGCAGAGTACCCACGTACTCCAGTGGGGCCTGTTCTGGTCTATGATGGCCCAGGCTTTGCTTTACTTTCTTTCTGATGCCATTTGGGAGGAGAAGAAGGGAACAAGAGCATCTTGGTGGGATTTAGGAAGATCAGTTTCCTGTTAATGTGCCCTGTTCTATCAAGTTCCAAAGTTGAATCAAGGACAAAGTGTTGTTTCATTCTGAAAGGTCATGTGAGTCACGTGTCTCCAAAATATTGAAACTTAACAGATATCCCACATTTCTTTCCAAAATAGGTAGCTATCAAGAACTACCCAGAGGAGATGGCTTGGGCCCCCCAATGTCACCAGCGCACGCGCATCCTGTGCACGCTCTGTCCGCCTTGTACTCTCCTAAGGGTGTGCTGCACATGGGCTGCTGTTACCCCATGCCCTGCAAATCCTACCCTGCACACACAGCTAATGTTGTTCTGCCAGTTTAGAGATGCAGGAACAGGAACCCAAAGGGTTGGCCTCTGAGGTAGGAGGTGGTGGAAGCGGGTTCGGCTCTAGGTGGCCCCCCTGCCCCACAGTCAGCTGTTCTGTGTGCCCATGTTTCTTCGGGGTACAAAAGAAGACATTTGTGGTCGCCGCTGCTGGAAAGCAGATTGCCAGTTATGTCTTCATCCAGAGCTCCACTGTCAGGCCTCCCTGATGCCAGCTGAGTTGGGGCAGAGGTCAGGGGGACCACAAGCAACCACCCTTATTGGGGCTGAAGCCAACATGGCCAGAAATGAGAGCTCAACAGGAACCCTGATAGAGGGGTGTGGCGCCCTGGCTGCTCTGAGCAAGGAATCCAAGGGAAGCGGCTTCCACCCTGTTCCCATCCCAAGGAGGGCAGGTGAGGAGGCATTGGGGGTCCAAGCAGAGCAGAGTGAGGGACCCAGCAACTCAGCCCACCCAGTGAGGCCTGATCGAGCTCCTTTATGCCTTGCCTGAAGATGGGAGAACATGAAGCTACCTAAAAATGAGTTTGGGGATTTCTGGCAGTTGTGAGTGTAGAGAAAACCATTTGAACGAACAGCCTTGCCTTATGTGTAGGTGACCAAAAGCCTTTGCTCCATGCTGTGCTGTCACTCTTGCTGGGCCAGTGACTCCCAGGAGAGCCTGCACCCACCCTGGGGGCATGGAAAGGGCCTGTGGAGATGCTGCTCGCACATTTCCAGAGCCCTGTGCTTTCTCAGTTTGAGTCTGTACACTGTCGTGTAATAAATACGTATACACAGTGAGGGAACAAGCAAGGATGTGCTCGGGAGCTGTGCTGAGCCTTGGGGTGTGATGAGGTGACATCAGCTGTGTGGGTGGAAGGGAAAGACGGGCTCACCCCGGGTCTATGGGGACCAGAGTAGAGTGCTGGGGGCACTGACGTGACCCGGCATGATGCCAAGATGGCAAATCAGGCAAGTCAGCTGCTCTCCTGTTGTGGGGCTGGTGACACAGGGGAAAACTCCCAGCCTGAAAGGTGCCCAGGCTAGCTCGTGTTCCCTAAAACTGAAGAGTGAATTTTATGAACAGTGGAGGTTAAGAGCAGAACATATTTATTGAGGGAAAGAAAGCTTCTGTCCAAGAGCGGGACAGAGGGGGACCCAAGTGGGTTGCCAAGGGACTTGACCTTTCTAGAGATTTTATAGAGCAAAAACTGCAATGTGGGGCTGGTCCAAACTGGGAGACATGGGAACTCTGTAGGTGGGCCTGAGGACAGACGAAACTGCAGTCAGCCAATGAGAGCACAAACACAACTTCTCAGGTAACACTGATTAAGTCCGGATCAAATTGGGAAGCGAGTCACATAGCAAGTGACTCTGAATACAGAACAGGGGCTTCTGGAGGGGGCTGGGTTAGTAACTTTTTCTGGCTTTTTCAAAGTAATGGAGACCTATTTAGAAAATCAATCCCTGATGTCCATCCCTAGGGAGGTACGCAGCTACACTTATTTAACCTTTGTCTTGAGGTCTGGCCCACAGCAGAGATGCCTGTCTCTCCCACAGTTGCAAGGCATCTCATATTCCACACTGGCTCCTTGAGAACTGAGCCCTGTCTGACTGCCTACCATATTTCTAACTCAGCCTCCTGCAGCACTGAGAGTGGAGTAACGGGGCCACACAGCCCACCTTGCACAGGGCCTCCCCTCCTGTCTCTCTAAGCCGCTCTGGCACCGTGGCCCCTGGCCTTGTGAGAGTCACAAATCTCGCCCGCTCACAACCCAAGCCCCCATCTGTAACCCTAGCACTCAGCAGGCTGAGGCAGATGGATCTCCCCCAGTTTCATGCCCTCCTGGGCTACATAGTGAGTTTGAGGGTCCCCCCTCCGGGCTGCATAGCAAGCATAGTGAGACTGTCTCAAAACTCAAGAACAAGCACTCACCTCAGCAACACTACACACATACAAAAGTCATTGTCACTGCCTGTCACTCCCTCTGGGATCTAAGCTGGACCAGACAGCGGTAGCCTGGGCCTGATCCCAGAGCTCTTGAGCTGCTGGCCCTGGGAGTGTCTCTGAGATTTGTCCTATGAATAAAAAAAAGATTGAAAAAAATAAATGAGGTAATGATCACATTTACTCGGTGAAAAAAAAAAAAACCTTTTCTGCAGTGCTGAGGTTAAAATCCAAGGTCCCCTGCAGGCTAGGCAACCAGCCTACCACTGAGCTAAACCTCCTGCTTTCCAAGTTCTTAATTTACAGAACAATTGCTTATCAGTGACCTATGTGGTTTTCTCAGGAACCCAGTAAATAGAAACCCTCATCTCTGTTGTGAGAGGAAAGAGCTCAAAAGAATGAGTGGCGGCTAAAGAGTAACCAAGACTGCACCTTACTCTTTTTCTCTTTCTAGATTTTGTTTTGTTTTGCGTAACCGGGGATTGAACTCAGGCCCTTGTGCTTGCCAGGAAAGCACTTATTCTACTGAGCTATCTCCTGGCACCTTAGTTTAGTTTTTTGAGGCAGGGTCTGACTATGTAGCACAGACTGGCCTCCAGCTCACACCAATCTTCCTGCCTCAGCACCCCATCCTCCCACCCCACCAACCCTGTCCTCATGCCCCCCACCGCTCCACCCCGCTGGGGATGCAGCCATGCTCAGCTCTGCTCTACACTTGTCCTCGCGTTGAGTTAGGTCCTGAATTATTTCGATGTTATCGCTTCCATGCCTGATCCAGCATATGCAAATGCATGCTAGTACACATGAGTGCATTCATTTGGCTTCCTCCCTGCTGCTAGCATTCCTCCAGGAAACTCGTGGTTTCCATGGACACAAAAGCATCTCCAGGCCCTTAATGGTGAGACCGCCGCGCACGTTCATGGTATTTCTTTCTGAACCCTGTAGTGCCCACCTACAAGAAGCTTCCCGAGAACGTGCAGCCCCGGTTCCTGGAAGACGAGGGCCTGTACACGGGGGCAAGGCCAGAGATGTCACGCACCAACCAGAACATCATGGAGAACCGGCTGCTGCAGCAGGATCCCGTGAGTGCTGCTCGCACCCCACCCTCCGCTGGCTGCTTCCAGGCTTCCACTACCTCCGATGTTGGCAGTCTTCCCCCATTCAGAGAACGCTTTTGTTGAGAGATCGAGTCTCACTATCCAGTGCTAGCTCACTTTGCGTTACGCAGCCCAGGCTGGCCTCAGACTTGTGGGGATCCTCCTGCCTCAGCCTCCAGACTGCTGGGAATACTAACATGTGCTGCAGACAAGGCTAATTTTTAAAATTCTCTTTAGATACGTTGTTCTCAGGTTCAGGTTTTTCTCTCCTGATTATTTCTCCTTAAATCTTTAATGAATAGAAATAAAATTTTCCTTAAGTATTCATTTAAGCTTTTTCTAAAACTTTCTTGGGGGCGGCCAGAAATGCTGGCCTCATTTAACTGTAGGAGTGTGCTGGTACAGACTGCTTGCCATAGGAAACAGAGACGGTGTAAGCTCTATGGGGCAGGAGGAGGTGCATACTTGGACACAGAGTTTTCTTGTCAATGTTCTGTCTGCTTTGTAAACCGTTTTCTGTCAAATAGAAAAAGATATATTTCTTGCCTCTGTTTGATCTGCAGGGTCGAAAATGGTTTGGCGATGATGGCAGAATCCTGGCCCTGCCGAGTCCCATCAAGCCCTTTCCCTCCCGGCCCCCGCCATTGGCCCAGGAGCTGAGTGACAAGGCAGGACTGGAGACGCTGTACAAAAAGGTACACATGTGCACACACACATTCTCTCTCTCT